TGTGTCTTGGCTCTGCGTGTGTATTAGTTTATTGTTTTTTGGGGTTATGTGTTCTCGTGATTTAGTTTTGTTCTTGCTAATGTTCTTGCCTATATACTTGTTCACGATATTGTAGTGTTCATGGATTTCATGTGTTGTTGTTTTTAATTACCTTGTATGTTATGTTCTTTGTATGATATTCTTGCATATGCCATTTTGGTGAAATTTATTATGTGTTCTTTCTTTTGAGATATGTTCTTGCCTTTGTACATTGTTCTTGGTCTGTAATGAATCTTTGCATTTGCTGCGCTTTCTCTAGTCATGTGTGTTGGGTGTGTACCTTATTTGCCTTTAAATGTGATTGCTTGCTGCATTTTTGCATTCTTGGTGTATTTTTTGCTCTTACAGCGAGTTCTTCCTTTGCTGTGTTCTTCCCTTTGTGTAATGGTCTTGATTTTGTAGTGTTTTTTATGTGTATTCTTGTTTTGGAATGTGACTTTTTTTGTGTTTCTGGCTTTGGAATGTGTGTTTGCCTCATGCTTTTGTACTGTGTTTTTTGTATTTCAAAAGTGCTTTTGCTTCTGTAGGGTATTCTGTATATTTGCTTGTCTCTGTGCTTGTACTGAATTTGGTTGATCTTTACGGTATGGACGTACTAAGTTAGGGCAAATTGAAAATGGTATTCTTGTAGAGGACAAAAAGTTGCAGTAATCAGTACAAGAAGTAATCTACAGACAAGAACGGTATTACTACGAACAAAGGAAAATGATTGCGAAAAAGTCCACTTGGTGCTCATGAGTTTCAGCTCTGTCTTACCATGGATATCAAGGTGTAGACAGTGTTTTTCAGGGAGTGTTGGGGGCAAAAATTCAGGCGCACCCAGTCAGGGCAACTTAGATTGATGAATAAATGTTTTGACGCGAGTTGGTGACAGTCTCTGGCAAGTGTATCCACACCGTAAAGATTTACCCTGAATTCTTGTTTTTATGACTTTGAATCCATCAATTTGTACATGACTGTCGTTTGCATCTTACATTTGCTGTCTGTTAGTGAGTGTGTAGTAGGTTCTTGCATTTGCTATGTGGTCTTATTTCTCGTGATTTACGCAAAGTTTATGCTGTTTTTTGCCCATATAGCTAGGGATATTGGGTATTTTATCTTTTCTGAATTTTTAAAAGATTTTCTCTCAATCCATCATTCTCCCATATGTATGTAATGGCATATTTATTGCAAACTTTTTTTTTTTTTTCATGTGTAAAGAAGACATTTTTTTGTCTTCTTGAAGCTTTCTAAGTCACTTTGGATTCATCTTTCTGTCTAATGCTTTCTTTTAATCATGAACGTGTGTTCGATTATTCCTGAATGCAAGAGTGCTGTGGCTTAGTCGGTGTATTTTCCTGACTGCCGTTTGAAAATTTGATTTTGGGATTCTTTTTGGTGTTTGCTTTTATCTTGGTTATTATTGTTATTATTATTGTTATTGCTATTATTATTATTATTATTATTATTGTCATTATTATTGTTATTGTTGTTATCGTTTCCCCAGTAAATTTTTCTTGTTGGAAAATCACTTCACTGTGTGTATTGATTATCTGGATAATTGTTGTGTTTTAAATATCAGAGAATTTTCCAAAAGAATATATAAGACTTACACATCTACCTAGCATCAATATCAGAGAAGAAAAGAATGTATATACACATATATTATATATATATATATATATATTATATAATATATATATATATATATATATATATATATATATATATATATAATATTTATAATATTTATATATTTATTATATATATATTTTTATATATATATATATATATTATATATTATATATATATAATATATATATATATATATAATTATGATTTACACATCATTCATTTATTAATTTCTGATTCTATGATTCGAAAACTAACTTCATAACAATTGTCTTGGTATTTCTACTGCATGCAAAACACTTCTTATTATTTTTTCCATATCTTATGTTATTTCCGCTTTCACATAGCTTCTTCTTAGAGCTAATCGAAGTCTTAGTCAAATGCCTATCTTAAGTATGCTTAATGAAAGTATTTATAGACACTCATGCTTAGGAAGGGCAAGAGCAGCGTGAAGTCGTGCACATACCAGGCCTTGTCAGTATTAATGAGTAGCCCTGTGTTTGTTGTTGTTTTTTGTTTTTTGGTTTTTAGTTATCATGTGATGTGTTTTTGTGTATTCGATTTGCGACGTGTGGCGACTACTGTGATTACTACTGTTGCTCTTATTCTTACACTGATTACCGCTCTTGCCCTTCTTTTCCTCCTTCTCTTACATTTTTTTTTTTTTCTATTCTTCTCATTTTCCTTTTCTCCTTCTCCTCCTTCTTCTCCTCTTACTCCTCCTCCTCTCTCCTCTTCCTCCTTCAATTCTTCCTCTTCTTCCTTTTCCTCCTTCTTCCTCTTCCTCTTCCTCTTCCTCCTCCTCTTCCTCTTCCTCTCCTCTTCCTTTTCCTCTTTTTCCTCCTTTTTCCTCTTCTCTTCCTCCTCTTTCTCCTCTCCTCTTTCTCCTCCACCTCCTCCTCCTTGTCTTCCTCTTCCTCCTCCTCCTACTCCTTCTCGTCTTCCTCTTCTACTACTACTACTTCTACTTCTACTTCTACTTCTACTTCTACTTCTACTTTACTTCTACTTCTATTCTTCTACTACTACTTACTACTACTACTACTACTACTACTACTACTACTATATACTATATTACTACTATTTACTATTACTATTACTATACTACTATTACTACTATTACTACTATACTACTACTACTACTACTACTACTATTACTACTATTACTACTACTACTACTAACTACTACTACTACTACTACTACTACTACTACTACTACTACTACTACTACTACTACTACTACAACAACTACAACTACAACTATTACTACCATTATTACTATGGTAGTAATGGTAGTGGTCTTGTCTAGCAACCTTGCTGACCCCATTCAATACCCGCACACTACCTGTGGCTAGTAACTCTGGCCATTCCTTGCACACAGGAGGGAATTAAGAAGCAAAAAAACAGAACAGCTTATCATACAAGAAAACCTTTGTAACAATATGGTATATAACTAAATCATTTCATTTTTATTTATTAGTGCTACTACTTCTACTTAGCATTTATGTTAAAAATAGTTTTAATGCCATAACAATTATGTGCTATTGTTTAACCTGCTTTTACTACTAGCATTACTTTGCCACTATTAGTGCAGTTATTGTTGGTGTGACTTTATTATTATGTATATCTGATACTTTTTTTTTATTATGGGTATTATCACTAATCCCTATGGTTAATGGTCTTATGTTTAGTGACAGTATATTACATCATTCATTTTGCATTGCATGATATTACATTGGCATTCTAGATGTCAAAATCACTAACTTAATGATATAGATTTTAAATGCCTTTCTATTTAAGATCATAATTTGTAATAAACTTCCCTATCTTGCATTCATGAACTCTTTTTTTTTCAGCTTTGACACTACAGTTGTGAGTCACAGCTTTCTGGAATACATGACAACTATTGGTGTGTATGGATATATGTTGTTGTTTATTAGTGGGGTGGGAAGGGGAGTGTTGTGTGATAGCAGTTGCTTTGTGCAGGGAAGATATGTGGGATGTTGATGATATTTTGTGTGTGTGTGTGTGTGTGTGTGTGTGAGAGAGAGAGAGAGAGAGGGAGAGGGAGAGGGAGGAATGTGTGCCAGTCTTCTGTGTGTGTGTGTGGTGTTGTGTGTGGTGTGTGGTGTGTGTGTGTTGTGTGTGTGTGTGTTGTGTGTGTGTGTGTGTGTGTGTGTGTCATTGTAGGCAATAGGTGTGGGTAGGGTTTGATGCTGGGTGTTCATGGATGAGTGCACAGATATATTAGTAAATGACAATATCCTGAATAACAATATATTTTTTTTCCTCTTCTTTTTAAACATAAAACTCATGCTTGTCATGCTTTTCACAGAGGATGCATATCAGAGACAAGCTGTTATTGATGGAGAACTTGCTCGACATACTGGACACAGCAGGCCAGGTTAGGAAATACATGTTATATAGACTCAAAGCATGGGGGAAAGAAACACCATATCACACTTCTAATATTCATCCGTGTGGGTAAGGGTGCCATTTCAGTTTTTCTTGGAGGGGGATGGCAAAGTTTGCCAGCAAGCTGAGCATAATCAGTTTCTGGGGCCTTGAGAAATCTTCAAAGTATGAGTTTATTTTAGAGCATTTTAAGCCACAATCAGAGCTTGGTTGTTTTAGTAAGATATTCTTAGGAGTGTGACTCGGAAAGGGGGGAATGGTCCTGTGAGTAGGCAATCTGGCAGTAATCTCGGTGTATCAGTATGAGGGTGCCAATTATTAGCTAGCACCATGGAGTTCGGTGAATGTAGCTGTAGTTTTGATGAGTACATCTACTAAATTTCCAAAAGTTTGATTTAACATTGATATTCTGATAGATATTTAATGATATTTCAATATTTTCATTGTCAAAATAGACAGTGATTAGAATCCATATGATTTTTACTAAAATGTGATATGGAAAATATAGTTATACCCTTTTATTGAGGAATTACTCATGCACAATATGTATATATTTACGTTATCTGTAACTTTCCTTTGTTGAATATATTCCTGGATATGTATTTAATTTAGTTCTGTGATTTTTGAGGTTAGTTAAAGAGTAATTGATTAGTTACATCTCTGGATTGATATAATGGCGGTCCATAAAACATAATCCCTGAAGTCCCATTTTTGCAAATAACGAAAGTAATTATAATGTCTTTTCATTGCAATATGAGAAGCAGCAGAGGTAAAGGTTGTATATAAATTTTGATCATGATACCATCTGTGAAAGCATTTTATTTAGCAGTGTTACGATAGATACTGAGGGGTTGGCTGCCACTATCTGTGTTTTTCTATGCTGTTATAAAGAGAGGCCTCATTTGTATTGAAAAGATAAATTCCAGTTAGAGAACGGCACATGTTATCATTTGTTTTTTCATGTTAGTGAGTATAGTTATTGTCTTTTCCAACTTCTTTTTAATATCAATTTAGTGAGTGTGTGTGTTTGAACCATTTTTTTCATTACGCAATGAAACTCATAGATATCACTCAAAACCATTTTAGGGCAAACTTTATTAAAGATTATTTTTCTTAGATGTCTTTAGCATAGAGATTAATTCATGAAGATTTGGTGCTGCTTTGAGGGCAAGTTCACCCTTTTGACTTCTCTTCCAGATTGAATTCACTGCCATGCGAGATCAGTACATGCGGTGTGGTGAAGGCTTCTTGATCTGCTACTCTCTGACTGACCGTCGAAGTTTTGAAGAGGTGGCTGGGTACCGGAAGTTGATTGCAAAAGTGCGCGGTTCTTCTATTCCCATTGTGTTAGGGGAATAAGGTTGATTTGGATGATCCAGTGCACAGGAAGGTACGATTGGCGCTGAGTTTAGCTACTTTTAAAGGAAAAAAGCTTTATGGCATTTATAAGTAATTTGAGAAAAGATATAGAAAATATTAGAACCTTTTTCCTATATTTAAAATTAAGCGAAAGAGGCAGTTTGAGGAAGCCAGCAAAGACCTGTAATATAGAGAGATCAATTTTGTGTACATTTGTTCCAGGTCTCGACTGAAGAAGGGCAAGCCTTGCAGTCCATGGGCTGTCCCTTCTTCGAAACATCAGCTGCTTTGAGGCAATATGTCGATGATGCATTCCACATGCTTGTACGGGAAATTCGTCGCAAGCAGAAGGAAGCAGCTGGAGGCGAGAATCAGGGCAGGAGCCGGTCTCTCTCACGTTGGAGAAGGTTCAAAAACATATTCCTGTGGATTTTCCGGCGACCTCGGTATAAGTAAAAGCAAAATCAGATGTCACTAACAGGGATTGATGATTTAGAGCTTACAGGTATATAGGGTTATACAATGTGGTTCTTCCATAAGTGCTTGTGAGAGTATGCCTAGTGCCATAATAAGAAATACATGAGAGAAAGTAAGAAAAGAGACTTCTCAATAGATCTAGGAATCTTTGCGTAATTCATTCAAGTTCCACAGTTCACATGCTGTGCTTCATGCCAGAGGGAAATTACCAAAAAGAGAAACAAATAGAAATGAAAATAAAATGATTTGCTCATTCATCACGGAGAAGACATTGATTTTGTGGTATGCTTTTTGTATGGGAATGTTAAACGTAGAGTTAGATTCAGAATAAGGGGAAGAGGGTTTATACTGACAATTTATATGAATGTATGAATTTTTATTCTCTCTCTCTTACTCTGTGGTATTGTGAAGGAGAGAATGAACATAGATTTATTGATTGTATTATGGCATATGAGATGTAGTAAAAATTTTTGCGCAAAATTAAGAGGTGAATGGAGATGTGATATTCTTCATTTAGATTGTTTTTTCAACCATCAGGACATCTTAGGATTATTCTTATAGAAAAAAAGAATAAGTTTCAGACTTACTCTAGATCTAGATCACAGGAGATATTTAACAAGTATGTAAGATCCTTCTTTATTCATTTCCAAGTTTTTAAAAAAAACAAGACTTTTTGAAAGGAGCAAGGTGCTGTCTTTTTTACACTGTATATACCAATAGGCCTTATCAAGGGAATTATTATATGATACCATGTTCTTGTGCTTTTAATGCCAGTGTGATGTAATATATATATGTAAATAAGAGTGATACACTGCCTGGTGTTGGCCCGTGTTAAAAATGTTTCACTTACACATCCGGTTGTAGTAGTTAGCAATAAGCATCCGCGGCGTATAAAACAACGAAATTCTACTGGAAATATTAAAACACTCACTCTCGAGACATGGGTGTTAGGAACATGTTCTCCTTGGTATTCTACAGCAGTATTCTGGTATGAGCTCCAACGTCTCCACTCAGATGGGGCATGGACGGACAGTTAGGTGTGTGACTGGCAGCGGTACTTATGCCGTAATTGAGGTGTAGAAGAGTTTTGTGTTGGCAATGATATCGGAGTCTCATTTTACGGTGTAGAAAGATGACCAGAGATAGGTCTTGGGAGTTAGATTTTATCTCTGCTTTGCCCTTTTATTTTAATTTATTCATTTGTTTGATTTTCTTGTGATCACTTACAGCAAGCAAAGAGTTGCTACTTATTTTTTAATATATATATTAATTTTCAGTTAGGAAGTCCAGCATATGCTAAGTTTGAGAGACTGGTTTTGATAATAATCTTTATTACACGTGGCTTAGCACACACTCTCTCTTGCTCTAACATGAACATCGTATTTTGCCTTTGAGATCTGTGAGAGGAAATTAATGATTGTTTTAGTTGATCTATATCTTTATGGTGATTATGACTTTCTGATATGTATTATATTGTTATTTCAGACATGTATTAAGGTAGAAAAATGTTATATAAGAAGGTATATATGTGATATTTCTAGGGAAATATGAGATTTGTAGATGTTATTGAGATTTGAAATTTAGTTATTTTTCTTATACTTCAGGATAAATGAATAGATCAGAGTGAACCTAGAATGAAATATAATACTGGAATATTATATTATTCTTATTCATTTATGCATGTAAGAAAGGAAAAGGATTCATTTTGCTTGTCTCATAAGTACTTGCCCCCTCGGTGGTGGTAGACTGCACAAAATACTTTTGTTCGCACAAGATTGGTTGTATAATCATTGAAAATAAACCTGGTTATGTCAAAGTTTATTAGGAAGTGATGCTAGTCATATAGAAGGGACAAAAAGTGATGCAGAAAGGGTTACATATATATTTATTGTATATATATAAAAAAAGCCTTTTATTGGAAATATACTCAAAATATTGAGGATTGTACTAGTGTCAGTCTTTTTTAATTGATTATTTTTTCTTTTTTTTCTTTTTTTGTTTTTTAGTATATGTAGAAATTGTGAGGTATGCTTTGCAAGGCTATTTTATTCATTCACCTACCCATTTAAGGCAGCATTAAGAGTCCTTGCATTATATGTTATGTTGAAGCATTGAGAGTTCCGAGCTCAGTTCTGCATTTTGTCCTTGGTGTCACTCCACGTTGGCATTAGGGAGTTGGTTCACGTTGATTCTCAGCACTTTGGATATGGTCTTTGATTGTATCTTTGAGGGAAGCAATACCCTGTAATGTGCAGTGTTAACAATCTACAAGAATGATATTATTGTAGGTGGATCATTTCAGGTAGGAGCTACCGCTACATACTTGAATGTTCTTTGGGTTTTGTTTGGTTTCAGCGAGGGTTAGCACACTTTAGGGGTCTGTGAGAGATCAGTTGGGGTGATTTATTTTTAGGTTACGGTACAAATTAGAGTGAACAAGGTACCACTTCTTCAAAGTTTTTCTTGAGTCCATACTTGAGAACTTTAATGGTACCATAGAAGCTCTTGAGTGGGTTGATAAACTTTTTATTAAAAACAATCTCACGTGACAGGTAGTCATTGAGTTTATTGGTCTCGTTCACTTACTCATATTTTGAGAAAAACATTGAAAAAATCTTTTTTATTAGGGAGACATATCTGCACAGATATAGACTAATTGAATATTTTTAGCACTTTGAATTGGTATTGAAATGATTGTTATATGGCATTACAGATGCACTGATCTCAAAGTTCTACTAATGTTTCAAGAAAACAGCCATGAACTTCTTTTCAAATTTTAAGACAAACCTGTACAAACGAGTGGTAGTAGAAAATGTTAGATACAGATTTCTAAGTGCTTATCAGCAATAATAGGGAATGTGGAGAGGAGATGTGATTTTTAGCATAAAGAATGGCGGTGGCTCCTTTGATAATAGGCGGAATCCTGTCCTACAGATGTGCACACATGGGAGATTTTTTTAAGGTCTTATGCACAGGTCATAGGCACACAAGCTACTTCTATGGTATTTACTGTGAAGTGTCTGGAATAATTGGCATTTTGTGGGTTCTAGGTCTGTGGTATCCATTTTGAATTTGCAATGTAGCCATAGATCTTTCTCAAGATCATGTTGAAGGTATTTTTGGCCTGCATTTTATGGTGAGGCCATTATCTTAGAGATAAGTTTTAAAGATAGGTAATGTTTTTTGGGGACACCAGGTCTGCACTTGCAATTCTGGAATGTTCTTTAATTTTTTTATTTGTTTATTTATTTTTATCATTACTATTATTGTTATTATTATTATCATTATTATTATTATTATTTTATTATTATTATATTATTATTATTATTATAATTAAGGAGGGATAGTCAAATGCATTGACTGTGTTGTGTCTCTCCTCAATTTTGATGCTGAGATTGTGGTAATGTTAACTAAATACTTTTTTTTTCCTCTTCCTGAATTCTATTAAGCATGCAATACCAGTTTCCTTTACTCGCTTCAGCTATAGCAGGTCATCCAGTGTCTCGCAGAAGTTCATCAGAAGCAGTGAATGTTGTTTATATGAATTTATTTAATGACTGATTTACCCCCAAACACCAGGTTCCATGTACTGTCTCACTTTCCCAGGACTAGACCCCCAAATATTTGTACCTTCAAGAAATAATCACAGATATTCTTTCCTTCTTTGCTAGTACTATGTCAGCTGGCTGGTGTATTTATATATTAGCATTTTCTCCAGCGGCTTTTCCCATCAGCTGCCGTGGGTAGCCCAACACCCCACCCCCTTCACTTCTGTTTCAATAGATGTTACTCGGGTGTTTGAGGGAGCCCAGGACACCTCTCTCAGTGAGCCTGGTGTGCTTTCAATTTGAAACTTGCCGGCAGAATCGGAAAACATTCTCAAAAGTATACCAGTGTCTGGGGGTTGATTATACAAAATGATCACATATTATACCTGAGGATGCAACTGTTACTACAGTGGCCTTTCATTTATGTTTTATGAATTTTTAATGAACTTCATGCATTGTTGTCTTATTTATAATTTTTATGTTATTTACATTTGACCATGCATTTTATGCTACCAAAGTGAAAAATTTAAGCCAAACAGAAATCCTGCTTTTTGATACTATAGAGGCATAATCTGTGGAACACTTATGCACTCAAAAGAATTGTTTGATAAAGCAATTATTTGTGTAGTATTGTAGAATAGAGTATTTATTAACTAAACTAGACAAAATGTATTTGAGATAATGTTTTGTTACTGCATACAGTTTATGGTTTACTGTACATTAAGGTTATGATCTTCATTTTTATCTGGTGTGAAGCAGTGTTATCCTTTCTTTTCTTTTCTTTTATATCTCAAAACAGAATATATAAGGTTATTGTTAATGAAATGTTCTCTGTTGCGTAATATGTTTAGTGTGGGCTGTAGATGGAAATGCTGTACATTTGACACTGGAGAATCTTTTTTTTTTTTTTTTTTTGTTCTTTCTTCTTTCTTTCTTTTTCTTTTTCTTTCTTTCTTTCTTTCTTTTCTTTCTTTCTTTCTTTCTTTTTCTTTCTTTCTTCTTTCTTTTCTTTCTTTCTTTCTTTCTTTTCTTTCTTTCTTTTTTCTTTTCTTTCTTTCTTTCTTTTCTTTCTTTTCTTTCTTTCTTTTTTCTTTTCTTTTCTTTTTTCTTTTCTTTTTCTTTTCTTTTCTTTTTTAGTGTGTTAACTTTGCTCGTTCATTAATGTTCATATGTAACTTTGGGATAATGCTTTACAATGAATGTTTAGGTTAAGATCACCATTTTCTCATTGTCAGCTGAAGATATTTTTAGATATTTTATAGAGGGTACATGAAAAATTTGATCCTTCAAAACGTAGTTGCTAAGCAAACCATTAACGAATTAGGTGGATGCATCTTTTGCGTGTAATGATAATGCACAGTTAAAGAGTGGAAAAAAATTAAACAAATATGAAAAAGGAAACTAAAAGTTTAAAAGTATTTGAAAAAGATGAAAGATAATTGAAAAGAGATTATAATTGGGAAAATGGCACGTCTTGTTAGCCAAGTGGGAACTGGTAAAAGAGCACAGGTTTCACGAGAGCAACAATTGCGGTAGCAATCAAACCTGCAACATATCCTGTTGTTCACACCACCTGTTAAGGACCCTAGATTAGGTGAAGTCCGACAATGTAGTACAGTACTGCATTGGGTTATCGTACTGGGCTTTGCAGCCAGTGAGGCTTCACCGTCGGCAGAAGGCTGATGTGTGAAGTCTTCTCTGACCAGTTGAGATTCCTAGTTGTAATCTGAGCTGCAGTTCTATGCTTATCTAGTCAATCAGTTGACCCTCTCCTTTTGTATGTTGTCTTCATTGTTAGACATCATATTGAGTGTTTATGTAATATATACATTATATATATAAATTATGCATATTTGTTTTTTTTTTTTTTCTTTTTCAATCTTTAGTAATTATCACTTGGTTTGCCAAAAGGAAAATGAAAAGAGAAAAGAGGGAAATCCCGTCTGTGGTGGGCTGTGGTAGGCGTTTAAGAATGTACTTTACTAAAAGCATACTGTATGTTGATCAGTGAAATTTTTTTCTTTTTCTTTTTTATATTATGGAGAGAGAGAGAGAGTATTGTTGCTTTTTTTTGGAATACTCTTCAATATATATTTGATGTTTAGAGTAGAAATTCTTTTCAACCTCATATTTGTTGCTATGATTATGAGCATTTAGAAAATCCTATTATGTAATAACATGTTGTGATCTTTTCCAAATAACTATATCTAATTTAAGGAATTACAAAAACTTTTTTTTTAAGAATTATATTATACCTGTTGTTGAACTGTATAAGATGCATATTAGTATATTTTGTTGAATTTATTGCATTCAAATTATTCAGATTTCTTGAGACATGATGCACTTCTCTCCTTTTGGATTTCCTGTACTCACCCATAAGAAACACTAGTAGAAATATGCAACCCAAATATCCAGGGGTATGTACCATGGATAGACAAGTAGACATTAAATTATTTTCAATATTATTAAGTGTGTTTTTTTTCTTTCCTGATCCTCGATAATGTCATAGTGATCCCTTAAACAAGTTTGCGAGAGAATAAAATAAGTTGAAGGTGTTTTTTTTTTTTTTTTTTTTTTCCCTGCCATGACTGAACACTGCAGCTACTACCCACTCCTCAATGCCTACTAGTAATTATCCACTCAAGTTGGACTCAGTCCCCAGGAGACATTCCTACTCCCCAAATTCAACTTCATCACGTATACTCTCATACCCTTCAATCACCTCATCTTCCATATCACTTCCTTATATATATAAATAAATGTGTGTGTGTATGTATATATTGTATACATGTGTATGTATATGTATGTGTTTATATTTTATATATATATA